TGAAATTTAAAAATTTGTCAAAATATAAATAAAATTTATAAACAAACGGTTATTTGCCAAAACATTTGGCAAAATCTATGCCCCTTAATCACTAACTCAAAGGAGTAGTAACTTTTGGGATAAATAGTACTAGGATAACTTATACATGCCACTCTATCAGAGGGTAGAATAGTAATTTGAGGACAAGTTATCATAGGATAAAGCAGTAAAATTGACAATCCCAGAATTAATATAACATACCAAACAGTTAATACGAAATAATTCAAGCATATCTATTCAAGCATAACTAATCCATATAGCTAATTCGATTATAGCTTGTCTTCAAACCAAACGATCCTTAATAGTGTTTACGAAAAATAATTGTTTGAGATAATTGTTATTTTAAAATATCAAGAAAGTATTTTTTTTAATTTTACCCTTACTCAAAGAAATGTGGGAAGTAATTATTGTGGTAAAAGTATTAAAAAGTGGTTGAAAAAGCTCATTTTTAAAACTTATAAAATTTCATGGACAAATACGTTTTTGAAACTTTTTCTTCTGAAAAAATGGGGAAAGAAATCTAAGGAAATACGGGTCCTAAAGCTTTTACCAGTAGCAGACGGCCGAATTATCTTATATCAATTGCACCCCCTTAACTTCACTTATGTAGCAATTAAAGCTTTTTACCAGATGGGGTGTAGTACTAGTTTGAGAAAAGGCCCAAAATAGTTCATTATCTTTGAATTTTAACTCAAACTAATCCTATTTCTTTCACATGGAGTATTAATAGTACAAATTTTTTAATAGAGTGGTACACTTTTAATCTCCATGTTTGATATGAAAAAAAATATTTTCCATAGGAAAATATTTTCTTAGAAAATGAGTGGTTATCATTTATTTTTCCTTGTTTGATTGGTGAGTGAAAAACGTTTTCTGAAAAATAAATTCTAGCGTTTGTTTAGAGAGTAAAAAATATATTTTTTAAATTTTTTTATGCTACTTTTCTTACCCCCTCCCCCTTCTCCCAAATCCCCATGTTTCCCGTGCTCTCCCTCCCCTCCCCTCCCCTCCTCCCACCCCAATTACCCAACATTTTCAAGACTCTATTTTCTTCAAGAATTTAATTATTCTTTTAAAAATTTACACAAATCCAAAGGGACTAATGTGTTACTTTACCTTTTCTCGCAAAAACAAAGTAGAAATTTGTGTTACACAACTAAAAAGAAAATACTCTTTCGTTGGTTGAAAAAGAAAATACTCTTTCTACGACATGAAAAAAGTACTCATTTTATTAAAATGAAAGAAAATATTTTTTCTATATCATGAAAATAAAATACTTTTTGCTACATCATTTTGTTGAAATGAAAGAAAATATTTTTTCTACATCATAAAAAGAAGAAGAATTAACCCAAATAGCCGGCTACCTAACTGCTTAAACTAGAAATAGCAGGTGGAGGTATAATTTATGCATTATATGTGTATAATTATGTATAATAAGTGTATATTCTATGTATATGGCTAGAAAATGTAAACAATGAAGAAAAGTTTGAAGAAAAAGGTGTGGAAGGTTGAAGAAAAGTTTTGAAAAATATTTTTCCTTCTCTTGACAGAAAAAATATATTCCTCCAATTGGAGGAAAATGAGTTCATGAGGAAAATATTTTCCTAAACATTTAAGCCAACCAAACATGAGAAAATTAAAAAATATTTACCGAAAAATATTATTTTTCATATCAAACATGGAGACTAAAAGTGTACCAATTTATTAAAGAATGTGGACTATTAGTACTCCATGTGAAAGAAATAAGACTAGTTTGAGTTAAAGTCGAAAGATACTGGACTATTTTGGGCCTTTTCTCCGAAGAAGTACGAATCTATATTATATTAAAAGCACGAAGGTCCTTAGCAAAATGTCGTTCGTCTTTTTTACTCTCTAAAAATAGAGTTCATACTAGACAAAATAGTCATTTAATTATTTTCCTAAAATTTTGAACTTTAAAATCAACTAAAAATTTATTTATTAAATACTTCCTTATTTTAACTATGTACAAGATCCTAAATATTAGGACTTTCTTAAATCCTTCTATGTTTCCAAGTTGTTTTTTAAACCATGTCAGGAACCGTTTGACAATTCTTTTTCCAAGTCTTTGGCCTTTTTATTTTGATAAAAAATAATTTAATCATATTTAGTATCAAACTTAGATAGTTAAATATAATAAAATTCTATCTTTGTCCGAATTCCCATCAGGCATATTTATTTTTCAAGTCTTTACCCTTTTTGTTTTGTTATAAATAATATAAATTATGCTTGAACTTTAATAGTTAAATATAATAAAATTTCATCGTTGGCCAAATCCAAATTATACATAAGTTTTACACCTTTTTAGTCTATTTCTGTTAGACTTATCGGCTAATTTGGTAACCAAAAGCGAAAAAACAAGCAAAATAAGTTTTTTAACAAACTGTTCTTTTGAAATTTGGTCTATTCTCTCTCCGTTTATGGAAATGTTGCGTTAATATTTTGACATATTTAATTAGAACCGTCCCAAAATATCATAACCATATTTGCTGTAGTTGGAGCAATTTTACATCTGATTAGAGCATTAAAATTTATATCTATCTATCTATTTATATTATATTAAAAGCATAAAAGTCCTTAACGAAATATCATTCGCCTATTTTACCCCTTAAAAATAGATTTTATACTAAATAAAATAGTCATTTAATTATTTTTTTAATTTTAGGACTTTAAAATAAACTAAAATTTTATTATTAAAATTTTCATTATTTAAATCCCATTAATATTAGAGTCGTATTGAACTATTCCTATAAGATTCTTTATTATTTAAAACGTGAGTTAGCAAAATTCTGTAGGAGTCAAACACACAACGAATTCTGAAAACATAAAGATTCAAAACATATGATTTTTCTTACTATTTGAAAATCGAATTCTTATTGGAAAAATTATAATTATTCTCAAATATTTTAAAACTAGAATGAGCAAAATATTCAGAATTTGAATTAATAAAATTTAAGTTATTCTTTTTAATGTTGAGAACAAATAATTAAGTCGTTGAATTAACTAATTAGCAAACGAATCCAATTCAATTATTTTACAAATTTATCATATAAGAAATGTTTTTTGTTAAATTGAAAAAACACTTAAAGTACATAAATTTTATTTTTGTAATAAGAGTATCGACATTGAAAAAAATCATAAAATATAGCAAAATTAATTATAGTAAAAAATGAAGATTCAAATAGGTGAAAAAACTAATTTAAGAAATTTCGTAAAATTATAGAAGGCAACTAGATTATAAATGAGTTATCATTTGTTTCTTTCTTGCATTCAGTCCAACAAATGAAAACGTCTCGCTATAATTTTTATACTAAGTTTTTTCTTGTAAAATATTAATTCAATATTAGTCATTCTTTAAACTTTACATTGTCACTATCAAATATTTAGAAAGTATAATGCCAATTTTTTTTTCATTCATAAATTTTTAAAAGACCAAGAGATCGATCATAGTGATTGATGGCTCTTTCAATCCGCCGAAATGGAATACTTTGGCGTGTGCCAAAATAAAAAATTTGGGTCAGAGAAAAAGTGTTTGACCGAAGCCAAAAAGAGGCCTTCAGACGAGAAAGAAAGAGTAGAAATATAGGTTTTCCATCGCTCTTTCCTTTGTCCTTCCCCCCAATTTTTGCACGGAAACTATCAATAGCGATTGTTACTCCTTATGCCAGGTTCCGCTCAACTCTCCCTTCAGAGCTACCCTTGCCTGATCGCATCCGCTTTTGGAGCCCTTTTAATTTGTGTTATTTGATAAATCTTTAAAGAATTATAAATATTAACAATTTTCTAAGTTTTGATATAAGTCCGAAAAAAATAACAATAAGGCATCTAAATAAAATTCCTTCATTTGTTAAGCTAACTAAATGAGAATAATATTTATTATTTTTTTTAAAAAACTTAAATTATATTTTATAACTCAAACAAATTATCTACTAATATGCATATAATTTTTAAAATTTGTGTATTCATTATTATAGGCAGGGGCGAATCTATATAGAGGAAAGGGGGTGGTACGCTACCCGGTCGCTCCGGTAGAATTTCATATTTGTACTGGTATTCCACTGATATTTCATATAAAAAAAGTACAAAATAATTCCCTAATGAATAAAGTTATGGTAGGTGCCACGGTCCAAGTGCTTCTTGTTAGGCCTTAGACCTAGGGTCGAATCTCCTCTCACTCATTTTTTAACAAAGCTTATTTTGCTTTTCCTTGTTCCCTTTTTTTCCATAATTTTCTTTTCTTCTCTTTCCTCTTAATTTCTTATTTTCATCTTTGTATTCTCTCTTTATACATTTCCTTCTTTATTAGTTATTTAAATTATAAAAGTATATTTATTTTTATTTTTCTTTTCTAAATTTCGAATTTTGATATTTCAATATGTTTTAATCATTTTTCTTTTGATCTGGTTAATGTTATTTTTTCCTTCAAGGACCAAACATTTTTAGTGTGTATTTATGCATCAAAAATCTTATGAAGTGAACCGAATTAATTGAAAAATTGAACGAACCGAACCGAACCAAGTTAATTCAAAATTGAGCGAACTAGTCAAATGTACACTCTAATTCGACCTCCTTGACTAGAGGTAAGTTTACATTAAAGACAGTGACACCTGTAATCATTAAATCCTGAATCCGCCTCTGAATATATGTATAGGCGCAACGCGCGTACCCAAGACTAGTTGATAAACAAATGTGAAGGTCTTAGGAAAGAAAAAAATAACAAAGCATAAGAAGATAAAAAAGAGAAACAGGAAGAATTTTGACCATTGAACCAATGATTCGTCGAAACGCGTTGATTGGTAGTCTTACGTAATTCTCAATACGTCAGCAAAACAATCCCAAAAGTTTCGCAATTGAATTATTGTACCCTGTTTAGAAAGGAACAAAAGGAAAAAAGTAAGAAAGAAAAAGCTACATTATTGTACCTTGTTCGTTGAAGGAATCTAATACTTTTGATAAAGAAACATAAAGAAGTATGCTTAACTTGGAAGGAAACATTACTTGGAAGGAAAGAAAATTGACTAGGGATTGACGATATGCTCTCCTCTATCTGTCTATATATTTTCAAACGAAAGTTGGTAGTTTGTGTCACTACTAGTTAGTGTAGTTAAAATATCAGAGGGTTTTGAGGCAAAGAGTGTAAGTGAGGAGTTTTTGCATAGTAAGTGAGTCTCTTCTAATTCCCCCATCTCATCTTGCTTGTACTTTTGATTCACTTCCTATTGCGCTTAGTATCTTGCTGTGATTGATGATTGTTGTTACCGCTTACTTCCGTCTATTTTCTGGCTCTTAGTTTGCTGTTATTATCATTCTGTCCCTTGATATTGCTTGTTTTTACTTTTTTTTTTTGGTCTATGGAAACCACCTTACTTTTGAGACTTCACTGGACCTATTGTTGTCTCATCCGGTGTTCGGTGTTAGACTAAATCCGAATCAGTAGTAGTGGTAAGATCTGCCTACGCACTGTACTCCCCAGACCCTGCTTGTGGGGCTTCACTGGATTTATTATTGTCTCATCCGGTGTTCGGTATCAGTATCATTGAGGTTAGACTAAAACCGGATTCATAGCAGGAAGTCCCATATTAGGATAAAACACATCCTAACAAAGGCGACTCTATACTCTGAGCTGGAATTGAGACCTCTTGTACTACTCCACAACCCTTGTTGGTTCTTGTGTTGTTTATGTGTTTAAACTTTAAAGCATCTTATATAATGTTTGGCTTCAATATTTACCTCATTTTAGTCTCAATTGTTTCTTGAAGCTTCCTTTTTGTTTGAAGTTTGAGTTATTTGAATCTTTTTCATGGTTTTGTGAGCTCGAAGGTGACCCCTCACTATAACACATAGGTCGGCCTCTGATCATGGTGGTAAAATTCCTAGTGGAAGAATATATCCACTCTTTTATTTCCATCTCATTTTAATGTTTTAGTTAGCTCTTCATTGATCACTGCCTAAGAAGCAAATGTGAGCACCAGACTATGATGTCATCTATGCAAAAAGCAGTATAGAAGACCATACAAGCGTAAAAGCACTAGAAATCCTTGGTTCATATGATAAGGTAAGTTAGTAATTTGCTACACTGAAGAAAGTAAAAACCCCCATTTAGGATTTAGCTAGATGATTGATTGACCGAAATTGACCAAAATTCTCAAATCAATCAGGTTTATTTCTTCATAATATTTCTCCTAATTTCAACCTTGGATTGTTCTGACTTGATTGTGTCTCTGTATGTCAGTTCTTTCTGTAGGAACTGTTAATATTAGGGAATAAGTAGTTACACGTTTCATAGATAGGAATATGATCAAGAAGAAGCTTGGAAAGTATTAGTCATCAGTTTAATGGAGGTTTTTCTTTACCATCGACTGTCGTCTTTACTATTAATTATTATCTTTAAGTTTTTATTAAACTGGTGCATAATCTAGTAGTAGCTTGCTGTATTCCTTTTTATACTTGGTCTTAGATTTGCAACTTTTGGCTCTTTCTTTACCAAGTAACTTTTAGCTCTTCTTTTAGCTAGTAACTCTTTTACCTTAATCTTGTTATTTTATTTTTATTATACAAGTATTCTTACTTGTGTTACACATGTATGTGACTTCAGAGGGTAATCTGGTGGTGATTAGTATTTGACAGTTGAACTGCACTTGGAATTTGGCTATATGGGAAAGACAATTCAGGTTTTTGGATTCCCTTATCTTCTGTCTGCAGAAGCAGTCAAGAAATTCTTAGAGAATCATACAGGAAATGGAACTGTCTATGCTTTGGAGGTTAAACAGTCCAAAGGAGGACGTAGAGCATTCGCAAAAGTTCAATTTGCCAACAACAAAAGCGCGGAATTTATCATCGATTTGGCTAGTAAGGGGTTGTATTATGGACCTTCTTATTTGAAGGCTTGGGAAATGAAAACTGATATTGTCCAACCGCGGACATATGTGGAACACATGGATGGCGTAACTCTGAATTTTGGATGTCAGATATCAGACAAGAAGTTTGCAGTGTTGGGAAGTAAAGATGTTTCAATTAAATTTGGCATTGGATTGAAGAAAATTTACTTCTTTTTATCTCATGCTTCAGCTGATTATAAACTCCAGCTTTCATATGAAAATATATGGCAAGTTGTCCTTCATCGTCCATATGGTCAAAATGCTCAGTTTCTCCTCCTACAGGTTTTTGAATTATTTTAAACCTTTTTTGCGATGCTTTTCATCCTTCTCCATGTGCTAGTCTTTGTGAATATTTGTGACTATTTGATTGTTGGTTGAATAGTACACAGTTCTCATGTATTTAGTGTCTTATTGTTTGTTGATCCCCTTCTTTTGAGGCAAAATCATTTCTGTATATCTGTTATGCATGCAAAAGTTAGACGCATACCAGCTTTGCAGCTGTCAATTGTTTGTGTAATACTGGAAAAGGATATATAGTGTGTCAAAACTTTCTGGCCGATGATGATAAGAACCTGTTCTGAGTATGGCTCTATATTATTTGCAATCTGTGCTTTCCTATGTGGTCCTCTTGATTGCTTTACAAAAGGCCCTAGTCACTAAACATATTCTTGTAGCTTCTTGACTTCCTTTGCTCAAAAGGCCGTAGTCACCAAAAGCCAAAAATAGAAAGACTTTCATTGGTTAATGAATAATGATAGAATATATGCTAAAGATTGGCTTCAGAGACAAGATCTAGACTGTAACAAGGTTCTTTATCCCAAAGAAAAAAGATCTCACAAGATTTTATGATGCAGCAAGAATTTGTTGTTGTTCGTGAGCTTTGAAATTGTGCTATTTAGAGTCTGAAAGTGTAGGAAATTGATATTGTTTCAATGGGGAAAACTGGGCCAAATACACAGATAGCCACTCGGAGTTGGCATGAAATGTCAGTTAGACACTAAATGTTTACTAGTGTCCAGATAGACACTTCAACTTGATAAGAATGCTACACGTGAACACTTGGGTCATAAGACCTAGTGGGTGAGTTACGATCGTGGTTGTTAATTTCTCCATTCTCTCCAACTTCCCCACCAGCCACTACCAACTCAATCTCTCTCCCCTTTCCAGCTCCCCAATATTGCAATGTGACAACCCATTTACATCTCTGCCTATTGTTAGTTTCCTCGGTTTTTTTCTTTCTCATTCGTTGACAAACAGGAAGAACAATATGGAAACTGTTAGGAAATGGACCTTTGGCTTTAATCCAACCCCAAAAGCAAGCTCATGAATTGAGATTGCTCAAGACTATATAAGGAAATTAATTACCTCATCCCATACCTTTGCGGGACTCTAAACACCCCCGTTCTCACTCACGCCCAAGATTGGATATTTGGAGCGTGGACAATATTGAGAAACAAGAAGGGAGAGAAGAAGGTGGGGAATAGTTCACTTGATTATTCCCTCAAGCCATTGGGGTTTAAAATGACGTTTACAAGAATTACAAATAAGGAAAGAAAATAAAAGGCAGCAACACCTGGGAGAATTAGACATACCTATAAAGCTCAATTCCAGTATAATTACACCAATATAGGACTCTAAATTGGTTTAGGATTGCTAAATTTTCTTTGTTCATTCAATAATTGAGGAATTTCTGTAAACTTAACATCAAGATAGTTCTTCTTTTCCTCCTTTATCCTTTCTCTCTTTGCTCCCTAATCAGGGGTTTATGATGGGTAAAAATATATTGCTATGGTTTTTGGGCAAAGTTTGGCATCTTTAAAATTGTAATTTATTTCTTTATCTGAGTGACCTTTTTTGAGTTTGAGTCGACCTTTACCGTTTCAGCTATTTTTTTGGGATATTTGCTAGTTGAGACATTCTAATAGTGTTATTTACATAATCTGTTTTCATTTGTCAGTAATTTTTGCTTTGACTACGGCTTAGACATCTATTTTGAAGTATTGCATTGCTTCTAATAGTCTTTTAACAAGCATGTACTATATTTATCATGTGAAATAGACTGGAAAATTACTAGGTGCAAAAAGTGTGTTTCATAGACTAGAGCCATTTGGATAGCCCTTTTAGTTCAATTATATTTTGTGCTTAGTTTTTATTAAAGAAGAAAACTCGAAAGATGATTAGAGAACATTGACAGTTTCTTTTTACCAACTAAATTTCTTCACGAGTATAGTTGCATCAGTTAATATAATCGCTTTATATAATTGAAATATGGTAGATCTGTAGTCTACTTTACTGATTTACCATGAGATTTATTATTGATTTATTCATTCGATTTCTGTGATTTAGTTATTTGGTGCTCCTCGGATCTATAAGAGACTTGAAGATTCCTGTTATAGCTTCTTTAAGGAAACTCCTGATGATCAGTGGGTAAGGACAACAGATTTCACTCCATCTTGGATAGGGCTATCTTCTAGCTTATGTTTGGAGTTTCGTAATGGTGTTCAACTTCCAAATTTCAGCGAAAGTTTTTTTTACTATAAAGAAAGTATGAACCAATTTATTTTACAGACTGGTTTCACCTTTTCATTCTCTCAAAAATTGGCTCTGGTTCCCATTGTCCACCTTCCTGAAGGAATTGAGTTGCCCTACAAGATATTGTTCAAAATTAGTTCCTTGATACAACATGGATGCTTTCCTGGGCTAGCTTTAAATTTTAACTTTTTCCAATTAGTTGACCCTCGAAGGAGAAATATTGCATGCATTGAACACGCCTTGGAGAAACTGTACTATTTAAAGGAGTGTTGTTATGATCCAGTGAGGTGGCTAACTGAGCAGTATGATGAGTACCTCAAGGGCAGACAACTTCCAAAATCTCCGTCCATCACTTTAGATGATGGATTGGTGTATGTAAGAAGGGTCGTAGTAACACCATGCAAAGTTTATTTTTGTGGTCCAGAGGTAAACGTATCCAATCGGGTTCTGCGCAATTATTCTGAAGACATAAATAACTTTCTTCGAGTTTCTTTTGTTGATGAGGAGTGGGAGAAAATACATTCTACAGATTTATTACCAAGAGCTAGTACTGGAAATGGTACCAGGACAGACATCTATGAGAGGATCCTATCAACTCTTCGGAATGGCTTTATAATTGGTGATAA